GAGAACTGAAGGATCTGCGCATCCTGTTACCACCTGGGCCGCAGACCTGTAAAACAGAGAGATTGGTCAAGTTAAGGGTTCAGACTGTGTTGGCTTTATGAGGGTCGACGCTGACGCAGATATGTGTGCAGTGAATATTTAGCATAAGATTGAAAAATATTTGCAGGTAAACTTAAAAAAAGTACTCAGCATAATACTAGTTTACTTATGCAGGACTTTTACTTGTAATGGAGTTTTCACATTGTTGTATTACTACTTGAATTTAAGTATGGAGGGCTTCCTCCAGCCCTGCTTACCGGGGCACAGGAATTGCCCTTTTTGGGGCACAGCCTCAGTTGGCAGTGCAGGTAGAGTTTGCTACTTTCCCCGGCGAATTCGAACATGTTGATAGACAAGTAGTTGGACGTTCCCAGTCCGTTTCCCACCACTTTCACTGCCTGGTCAGCTGTATGGCATCTGCTCAAAAAGACGAGAACAGACATGATGACATCAGTTGCATCAGCAGTAAAGCCTAATTCCCAAAGCCTCTGACAAAGTCTCAGTGTAAGTATTTTTTGTCACCCCTTAATGACGAGGTTGTAACGTGGAACCGCGTCAGGTAATGGCTCGCTGGTTACCCAGCAGGAGTCGGTCACCACAGCGTGGTCACCTTCGTCTTCAGCTCCACCCAGATCTTCTGGTCTACCCCGATCGCAATGGATGAGTTGACAAGTTCTGTGCGGCCTGGGTCATTGTAGGCGTTCATCATCAGAGTGTAATTGAAAACTCCAGAGACAATATGCTGCACCACAGAGCTGGAGAGCACAGACACACACACTTCAGATCAACTTGAAGTACAACAATCAGTCAGCACGGTAACAAGCAGACGATGCTCAGCCGGCCTCTTTGATCAGGAAGGCCACACTCCTGACTTCTGGCTGGGTGTGGAAGCAGGAGAAGTCGATCGTTGCTTTGATGCCGCGGGGGAAGGTGCCGTTCTTGGAGCTGTTACTTGTCATGATGGTGTTCTTGTAGATGACTTGGGTGTTGTTCACCTAGATTGTTGCAGGAACACAGACATGTTTTCAGGGGAAGAAAACCATTGAATTCATTTAATCACATTTCGCCCCCTTTAGCCTTCTGTATGCAAACTGCTCTAACCCTTTCACGCATAGTGGTCACTACAGAGGACAGCTATTCAAAAGCGATTTACTTGAATGGGCAGAGGTTCTGATGATCTTGTTGCATATCAGCCACTACAGTGGACATTAGTGTGTCATGCCATACACTGCCGATACAAATCGTCAAAACCAAGATGGCTGACGGACGATCGGAAACGCTGTGCAGCTCAGGTAAATCTTGCCATTCCTCCAATTATAGGAGACCCCTGCAGGTAAATAAAATCTGGTAACATCTAGTAACAACTAAGGAGTAATACAATTGTTAAACTTTCCAAGTATTGATTTTATGTTAGGAGGAAATTGCGATTAATCATCTGTCTACTAAATTGGACATTATGCATCGCTGGCTGTATTTCAAATACAATTAACTATTATTGAGACTTTGTTTTTCTTGAAAATACTTGTGCACTAACTTTTCTGGATGTAAATCAGTGGATTTATGTTATCAGAATGTAAAACCTGCAGTTTTTGTAACAAAAACAATATTTTGTGCCGATTAGTTCCATTATGTGAGTAACATTTAGTGCGTTGTAGCAAGTAATAGAAAGGCATTCAGGTTAGTGGAGCAAATTCCACCAGAATCAATTGAGGATAATAGTAGTGGCAGTGATGAATGGCTGCCAGAAATAGAATAATCCCCAAATGCTAGCAGCAGTGATAGTGGAGCTGAGGATGCTGAGACAGATGCTGAGACAGAGGGGCCTGTGTCCACCAAAGCGTTTTTTGCAGCGTTTTGTCTGACTGCTTTGATACATAAAATCCGAGGAGGTGATGTGCTGCAAGTAGGGTAGCCTACTTAATTTTACTGAGTGTAAAAATGTCACCACAAAGTACGTAGGCCTACTTGCTCTGGCCCTTGCTCTGCATGAAGAGAAGGCTGAAACATGAGAGCACAGACTGTCCGTACATGGGTTCATGAGATTTTGCGGGCGAGGAAACACCTCTGCGAGTGGCCACATCGTTTCGTTCAAGATCGGATGTGCTCGGTGTGGTGTTTGTCACGCGCCTTGTCACGCTGCTGACGTTTTTACCAGCTAGTAAAAACGCGGCGCTAGAATATGTTAAAATATGTGACCACATTAGTTTAACAGCATTAAAAATATAGTTTTTTACATACTATATCATTTTATTCATTGGTTTGTTGAATAAATATTTCTTATGCACACGCTGTCTACCTTAGTGCACAAAAATTTAATTCTAATTTTATTTTGCATACCTAAAGAGCAATAAAAACAGGACAAATATTCTGACAGAGGCTGTCAGAATTCATGCATGAAAGGGCTAATAAATAACTTTTATATCAGCAGTGGATCAAACACATGTGCAAAGTGAAAGACTTTGAACCTGCCATTATCACCTGGAAATACCTAAGAGAATTGAAGAACTGTGACATTTACCATCCTGACAGAGAAAAAAACAAGATACAAAAGTCCATATCTTTATCATCCAGCTGGTAATTCACAATGATCCTTCCATCATAAAGAAACTTCCCAGTATTTAACTAACACTGGTGGTCTCGTTGGGATTGCTGGTGCTGCCACACAAGCCCACTACATCTTCCATATGTCCTGGACAAATCAATAAACCAAATAACTACAGCAGCCATTCTTAAATTCAAACAGACACAAACATGTTGTCCTTCTTGTTGTCCAGATAGGATTTAGAGTTTTGTACCTGCCACATGTGCAGTGTTGCCATCAAAAAAATTTGGTGAAGTGCACATTATGACTTGTTTAGGACTCAAAACTCAAAGTTAAGGACTTTGGACTTGACTTGGGAATTGTTGGTCTTGACTTGAGACTGGCTCTATGTAGAAAGTGTTTCACATGGCGGAAATTACACACAAGTGTCTTGATTTGAACCAATATCCAATAGAATCTTCATAGAGGAGTGAACAATAACCTTATTTGGACGCTTAGTGAATCTCTGGAGGTCTAGGAAGAATATATATCTCCAGATAGGAAGTATACTTCATATTTGGTGTTCACATATTGTGTGCAGGCACTGGATCTCCTCAGCCGAGTTTGCTCATTTGCTACAAATAAGTAAATATACACTGATAGTTGTGTATGTAACAGTTTGTAAGTAACAATTCAACACAAATAATGAATAAATTGAAAACGTAACTTTTTTTCTTCTACTTGTCTATATTTCAGTTTCTTTAAATACATCAACAAAAGTAACTCCTGGCATGTTCTGATCATCAGTGATGGATCAGATCAGGATCTAAGGTGGATTTTTGGAAATAGCCCCATAAATACACTGTCACTTGCTTTTAGACTGTTGCAGCTTACCGTAACTCTTCCACCTTGTTCCAGATAATTTTTTTCAGCTCCCCCACTCAGCGATAGTATCAAGTAGTCCAACATTGACACATCTTCACACCGTCTGTCCCGGAAACCGGCCAGTAGGTTAAAGCCTGAGCCTTGTTGAGGCTTCATCAGACTGTATACACACCGATCCGGGACAGAGAGGACCCTGCTGAAGAAGTCGATGACAGTGGGGCTAGTCACAGTGCAAACAAGAGGGGGTGGACCACACCTGATGGAGAAAGGGAAAAGTCATCGTCAGGTGATGTGAGTTTGAGGAATATTAATCCTTACTTCAAACTTAACGAGGCGATTGATCTGGTTTTTATCGTTACCACCATTCTGTCTGCATTCCCCATATCTTCTATCATAACACAGTCTTGTGGGGTTTGAGATGGGCTGCTTTTGAAACAAATTACAGCAGATGAGTCTTCGAATGACAGCTGCAAAAACAGAGAGACACCGCACATGAATTACAAAATTAGTTCAAATCAAAAATGCCAAATTCAATCCAATCTGAAAGGCCAGGAGGTTATTACAAGTATAGGATACAATCCAAATAAACTCTGCAACTCAAAATTATGTTTTTTTAATGATTATACAATTTTAAATACTGGCTAGTGTTACTCTTTGAGGCTTTTAAGAATTTGTTAATGTTCTTATGGTTCTGCCATTTCGTTATAATGTCCTAATAATTTCTTGGAAGGAACTATGTAATTTTATATTGATCTCAGGGACACATTGTTCTGAGACTGTTGTTTTAGTTAGCTGTAGTTGTGCATGTTTAATCTACACTTGGTTAATTCTATGCATAAACTGTTAAGCTTGGGGGTCACAATATAGCATTGTTTTAATTGACACAAGCCGTTCTCACAGCCTTAGGGAAGTCTTAATGCATCAAAGCCCTGATGGTGTGTCGCTGAAGTCTGTATTAGATATCTTAGCTAACAGTCAAACATTCTGTCTGTTAGATAATAACAGAAGAGAGAAAGACAAGCCTTTCCTCAAACATGGTTTCATTTTACTCACATCTACCACTGAGAATTGGCGTCCATAAAAACTGATGGGACATGTGCTGATGTCCACATGTCTAGAACCAGTAATAACATTTTGAGCTGTCAGAAGGTCAACCTGGCTAGCAGCGACTACAGGTTAGGTTTGAAGGAAAGAGAAATGAGAGACATTATACACTGATCTATCAAGACTAACTTTCCTTTCATTCCCAATTCACACCTCTGACTCTAAATGACATTTATCAATGCAATACATTCTGGGTGCAAAAGACTGAGAAAACTATTTAGTCATGCAACATATTTCCCCATAGTGTGAATGGCTGGCTTCAATCTGATGGTATAGTATAAGTAAGTATAAATCATGACCAAATCTCTCCAGTGTATGAAATAAAATATAAACAAACTTTCTCATTAAACACTACCCTTAGTTTGATTTATATTGATATCATGGATGAGCATATGTTTTAAAAATGTATCATGTTGGTAAAGTTTGTATTTATAGAAATTTGCACAATAAAGACAAATGTGCATGACTGCAGGTGCATGTCACTGTAATGTCTGAAAAGAGGATTTTACTTTTAAATTGATTTTGGGAACAAATGTGTCAAATACAGGCTAGTCATCAAATTCCCCTAAAATTAATATTGCTTACCTGCTAGGAGGAGGAACAGTGTACCCGGCTTCGCCATGATGGAGCACTGGCAATAAGATGTCTGAGAGCTGGGAGAGAGTTCACATAGTAAAGTAAGTAGCCTACGCCTAAATTCCACACACCATACAGACACATACAGCACAGTATAAGGGATCATGTTCTTGATTTGATTGATGAGATTTAATGCCTTTCTTGCATGCTGCATGGGGCTATTATAATTTATCGCCCCCCAAAACCGCCTGGAGGATTTTTATCAGAACTTCCTGAATATTTATCTACTCTGGTTTTAAATTATGACACAATTGTTCTTTGTGGCGATTTTAATATTCATGTTGATGACCCCACCAATGTTAATGCAACTGACTTTTTAAATATGGCCACTTCTTTTAACTTCAAACAACATGTCAAAGGGCAAACCCATAACGTGGTGTCAATCAGAGCCTCTATTACCCCCGCGGCCTCTTACTCAGAGGTTCCTCACCAGCAACAAGAGAGTTTTAACCAGTTTTATCCCATCGACTTGTCTGAGCTTTTAAAAACAGTATCACAAATGAGAGTGTCCTCCAGCCCACTTGATGTAATACCTACAAAGTTTTTACTTAAAGTAATAGATTCTGTTGGGCCCTATTTGATCTCTGTTTTCAACAGCTCCCTATCTACTGGTTGTGTCCCTGATTATTTTAAAACGGCTTGCGTGAACCCGCTTTTAAAGAAACCTGGTTTAGATCCCTCCCTCCCACATAATTTTAGACCAATTTCAAAACTGCCTTTTATTGCAAAGATTCTAGAAAGAATTGTGTCCAAACAGCTTCTCACTGTCCTGGAAAATAACAAAATATTTATATTATATCATATCATAAACATGGCATTTCTTTTCATATTTATGCTGATGACACACAAATATACTTGCCCGTCAGATCCACAGACCCTGGAATGCTGAGTTCACTTAACAACTGCCTTTGTGAAGTTAAAAAATGGATGTCAAATAATTTCCTCCAGCTGAACTCAGACAAAACAGAAATCCTGGTCATTGGGTCCCAGCAGATGGCAAATCGAATACTGCCATCTGCTGGTTCCCTAGCAAATCACATTAAGCCTGTTGCAAAGAACCTTGGTGTTTGGTTTGATAGTAATTTAAATTTCGAGCAGCACACCACAAAGCTTGTTAAATCATGTTTTTATCAACTTAGAAATATAGCAAAAATTCGATCTATGTTAACTTTTAAGGACACCGAGACCATTTTACACACCTTCATCTCATCACGCCTGGATTATTGCAACAGCCTTTTCACCTGTTTAACCCAAAAATCTGTTGATCGACTCCAGACTGTCCAGAACTCAGCTGCCAGGCTTTTAACCAGAACAAAGAAATATGACCACATTACTCCTATTTTAGCTTCATTACACTGGCTCCCAGTATGTTTTAGAATTGACTTTAAAATTCTATTGATTACTTTTAAAGCTCTTCATGGCCTCTCGCCTTGTTATATTTCTGAACTTTTAGTCCCATACGCACCAGCACGTACCTTGAGATCCTCGGGAAGAGGTCTGTTGTCTGTTCTTGAGTCTTGACTGAAAACTAAAGGGGACAGAGCGTTTGATGTCAGGGCCCCGAGGCTCTGGAACAGCCTGCCCGAGGAAATCAGGTCGGCTGAGTCAGTGAACTCTTTTAAGTCCCTTCTTAAAACATACTTTTATAGGAGAGCCTTTCCCGATCTTATGTGACTTTATTTTATGCCTTTTATTTTATTCTATTTTACTAATTTTATATTCATTCATTTATCTTGTATTGTTTTTGTATTATTGTCTCTTGGGTATTATTGTCTTTACACTTGTTAAAGCACTTTGTAACTTGTTTTTGAAAAGTGCTCTACAAATAAAGATTATTATCATTATTATTATTATTAAAAAAACTTTTTGTTCACACTTCTCTTCTGCATCTAATTGTGTTGGTTGAATTTACGAGGACCTTCATGTTCACATTCACATATATCAAGATTAAATCTTCAAATTAAGAGAATTGAAACAAAAGTAGGAAATCTAGTGTTTTGAAAGTAATCAAATTTTAAAATGTAAATGAATTAAAATGTATTAACCTTCACGAATCTTTAAAAAAACAATGATTTTAAAAATCTGAGGTCAATCTGAGGTAAGTGCATAAGCATCGTCTATATGAAGCCAGGCAGAGAGAGCAAGACCATACAGCTTGTCTTACTTCAGGAGGTTGGGTGGAGCAGCAGGGAAATGAAGCTCTGCAGATGGAGGTCGGCTCTCTGGATGTGTTCACCTCTTGAACAGATGAGTGTCTTTCATGTCTCTCTCTGTCTCTTTTTATGCAGGTTTTTTTGGTTCACGCCGTAAACACTGACCTAAATGCTACACATTCCCCCCAAAAAGACTGGCTTTTTGTGACCTTAAGCAGTCCAATGAGTAAGTGCACTTTTCTCAGTGAGTATTCGCAAAAGAATTCAGTAAGTGACTGTTAAGTAAGAGCAATTATAATCCTTTGAGAAGTCCGTGAGAAAACATTTTTCCTATGTGACCTTATTAAGTTAAACATTTTCTACTAAATCTCATAAGGATTTTTTCAAGGTGAATTTCTCAAATACCGACGCAAAAGGTTGGTCAGATGGTATCTCCTTACATTCATGAAGTCAAAAGTGATGAGAAACTAATGTTTCAAATTTTTTGGGTGGGCAATCTAATGTGAGTAGGACTGGGCAATATCACCAAAAATGTTTTCACGATAAAAAATTCGAATCATTATTTCTTTCAAGTTAAAGCCATATATATGTTTAGACTGTGAACAATATTTGAGAGAAATAGGCCATTTGCTGACTACGGGTGTTTTTGTCCAAAAGCTGGAGCGCTGCTCCCTGCTCCTCTCTCCCAAGTTTAGCAGCTCTTCGCCAGCCAGATTTTGGCCCTCTCCACACAACGCTCTGAAGCTGTCAGTGACATACGGACAATCTCAACGTTGATAGGCTATCGCGACTCAGCGTCATGCGAATTTCTCGCTTGAGTTGAAAATATTCAACTCACTCAAATTCCTTCACGTTGCCTTCGTGTTGCTTTGCACCGCCCGACAGGAAATCGGCTCCTTTGCATTGACTTTGTATGTATACTCATCGCCCCAAACGATCGCTTTTGCTCTGAAAGCACCATAAGTGGGACAAAAACCTTATGCACCCAATCAAAGAAAATGGTATAAAATGAGGTAAGTCTCTATAGACTAATCATTGTACAGATGTGTGTGTAAATGTTTGGTCATTTTTTTAGAAAACCTCAGAATTCAATTATTTTACAACATGTTCATGTTGACTAAGTGATTCTGAGGAAGACACCAAAGGCATTTCATAGTGATTTTGACCTGGCTAACGCAGAGCAGTTGCTAATGTTATGGTGCAAAGTTGTATCGCTTTCCACATTACTTCACCAACTAACGCGACCCATATTACTATCCTCTGTACCACCGGTAAGTGTTGATTTAACAAGAAATTATGTAATGGTACAAAGCAAATGTGGAGCGACAGGGCAGCAGCTAACGCTACATAAACTTGGACCTGCCACTGTTTGCTTTGTAATGTTCAATTAAGATTTATTGTTGTTTTACCGATACTCAGGTAAACAGCTTCTTCACCATCTCAGTCGCTGAAACTAACATGACCCACATATTCAGGGTGCGATTTGCGATGGAGGGCTCTCTCTCTGTCTGTAATCACCACTCTTTCATCTTGCTCAATGTCCCACCCACGGCACCATGTGATTGTTACAAGTCATGAGAAATAGTCTATTAACAGTCACGAGACGTGTCGAAGGGAAGGCAGCCGATATAACTGAAGCTGCATTAAACATCACAATCTGATGATCTGTTTCTATGATGACAAACAGCTCAGTGTCCTTGTGGTCCCCCTCTGGTTTTTACACAAATCGCACCTTGCACATAATATACAATAGGCTACTGCAACAAAAAGCTGACATCAACACAGAGGAAGACCCATCCACTAACATTAGAGTAACGTTACTTACTGCAGTCTAACTGTTTTAAAGTGTAACAACAATCTCATTTGTAATATTCAGTCCAGCTCAGTAACCATTTTCATATCATCAAACACATTTAGCTGGGGTGACATTGCTGTACCTCCGGAGAAACTACACAGATAGTAAAGTTAGTTACTGAAAACCAGACAAGCGAGCAAACGAAAATGTATCACTTCAGCTAAATGCAGTTAATGTAACATTATCATGTGACGAGCATGGATTAGTTCAACCTCAAGTTGATAAGTAACAGAGCCTGAACATGTCTGGAGAAAAACCACTGCTGGCATGCCAGTGTTTCCGCATTTATTGTGGGATCTCTGTATGAAAGCGGTTGTGTTTCAAGTTATGCTCGCTCATGAGTTCAAGCAAGCATGTGTACGAGCACACGCCTGGTTGAAGTCTTAAAACCGCACCACTAGTGGCCGCTGAAAACTTGGCCCTTTAAGTTACTCACTAGGTTACTCACTTCTCAAGTGTTTTTTTGTAGTGAATACTTTTGTACTCTTTCCCAAGTAGTTATTTTGATGACCACCTTTACTTCTACTTGAGTACTTGTTTTTGCATAGTTACAGTATTTTTACTTGAGTACAGTTTTAGGCTACTCTACCACCTCTGGTGGGCGGTTAGTCAAAAAGTCCTTGATCCACAGACACAGTTGGAAGTGTTGGGCAAGCTACTTGGAAAATGTAGTGAGCTAAGCTACTAGCTACTCTACATTAAATGAAGCTTCACTAAATAGAAGCTACTGTTGAGAATTATTTTAGAACATTACAGCCTAAATTGTTATCATTAATTGCTAGAGCGAAGGTGGTCTGCATTGGCATCATTTAAAGTATTATTTTATAGTGTAAAGTTAAGATCACAACACTGAAACTCTATAGCTCTGAGAGTGTGTGGTCCTCTATGTGTTTTAATCATTTTACTAGTATTAATCATTAATCATTCTTAATCATTTTCTTTTTACATAGATGTGCTTTGGTTTTTACTTATAAGTAGTGAACTGTAGTCATGAACACAGAAACAAGCTCACTGTGGTTAGATGCTTGAGTGGGAGGAATGACTGCAGGAAGTGGCTGCAGATGATTTGCCTTGTCCAACTGTCATCTACTGTAGATTATGTCCATAGGAGAGGCTGCAGGTGCGCAAGATCTGCTGACACTGTGAAAGTGCATGCATGCTTCGTTCTGCTGTTATCTACTGTTGTGATTACATGAGGAACTGCTGATGTGTTAATCTGCTAATATTAAGACTACATGCTTAATTACTGATTAAGGGGGTTTGATTGTCAACTTCCAACCTTTGGTTATTATAGCCAATATGAGCTTTGAGTGAATTTGCTTATGACCTGTGTGAGCTTTGAGTGAACTTGTTGAAGGAATTCATGCTTTGCAAAAACACGACAGAGGATGACCAAAAAACTGACAGATGCTTGGCAAAAACACGACAGACAGATGATAAGCAGAAAGCAGAAAACAGTCAGCATAACAGTGCTCCGATTACCACTGGCACCACTGTTGCTCTTACTTTCCACATCTTTATACACACACACACACACACACACACACACACACACACACACACACAGTAAATCAGACACACAGAAACTCTCCTACTTAGTGCGACAGCATTGCAGCTAAATGTATTTCCTCATGCAACAAATGGAGAACCATTGCTGTTTGTATAAAGTTACATAAAGGCAGGGTAGGCAAGCTTCTAAAACACTTTTTGTCATATTTGTTGAAACTGTCTATATACATCAGTGCATATTAAAAAGTTAGGTGCACTGAAAAAGAGAGCATAAAAACAGGCTGTAAACACAGCCACGCGTTCCATTCGGACCGAATGCAGCCGGTCAGCTCTCAGACCGGACGAGCTTTACAAATGTGGTGATGTCGCTGTGTGTTTGTAGATATGAGAAAGACATTTCAACGTTAGTATAACGTTACATAAACAATGATGGTTAAAGGTCCCCAAGTATCTGTGTTTCTGGTATATAAACTACCTATAATATAGTTTGACATTGTTCATAGCTAAACCTACTGTGTGAAAACTTTTTACTGCAATTGGTGCGGTTATGCCATTACTTATTTTACCAGAAGTAACAAAATCCTATATGTTTTATTTCTACTGTGCCCTCAGGTCACCTGCAGATTTGGAGTCTTTCATAGCCCTGCTGTACTTATCCAGTATAGGCTGATCGGACCATGCTGGTTGGCCTTAATTACAACCACCATGTCCACAGTCCAGCCGGGAGAAAAGCTGATGACACAGTTCAGTGTGTTGCATTATGAGTACTCCTATGCATTTTACTCAATACATTTATAAGTGATGTATCAAAAAATATTAAACAGTATGAGGAATACAGATAGATGGTGCTGATTTATTGTTTTGATTGCATTTTATGTGGGAATGCTAACTACTCTATAAGAGAACAATGTCAGGTGTTAGAAACTTTTTACTAAGCTGATCCTCCTTTCTGTATTATCAGGTACAGCAAGGTGTACAACAAAAAGTCCAAGAAGTGGAGCTTGTACTCATTGAAGGTGGAGAAGGAATACAGTTACATCGCAGACCTCCAGAGTGCCACCCTCCTCCTCCTCCGGTTGTCTACTACTGAGGAGATGCCTAGAAGCAGAACCAGGAGACCTGATGATCCCTGTCAACATGGGGTTCAGTCAGGTGTCCCTGCCCCAACTGTGTTGCTAGATACAGCAAAATATATAATAAAGATTATTATTATTATAATATAAAACAAAAAGTAATATGGTTGGTTTTGAAATGTGGTAATCATGTCAGAGAGGTGATTGTGATATATTTAATCATCTCCACAGCAGCAATATGATGCTACATGCAAATTCTGAACTGTCTTCATAATCAGTCAACACACCTCTGGACACACCTTGTCGATTCCTGTATATACTTATTTTTAATGATGTTTAAAATGATCTATTTGTGATATGGGTTGTAGTTTTAGTAGTATTTAATATCAATAAACAAGTGTTATCCCACATTTGGATGTCATTATTGGAGACATAAGACATAAATGTAGTTGCTTGATTGTTTATGCTGCAAGTGTAAAGAAAAGGCATTTATCATTTTCAATGCTTAATTTAAAAAAAAATGAACATATTATCTAGAACAGGGAAAAATAACTTTGTGTTTTCTCTACCCTCCTGGGAATAAAACAAAAACAATGTACAGGTATTCATCAACACAGTGGATATAATTATTTGTGTAGCACTGTGTCAGTTAGTGACATTACATCTTACACCCTGCTAGTATTAAACCTCTGTATTATCCTAATGGATCAGGAGAACAGTTGCATATCTTCCAGAAACAGCAACTCAGTATCACGACTCTGTGTCTAAGTGCTCCACACTGCCACACTACAAACTGTCTGTATGCTGCCTGACTGAACTGTTTGTTACTCTGTCCTGGGTCTGGAAGATCAACCATGTGTGGTACATGGAAACACTGTAGTCTGGATGTTGTCCACAGTCCTCAGATTCTGGTCTGTAAAGGAATATATAGTTGTTAGAACCCAAATGGGAAAGGTCTGTGTAATTGCAAGGAACGTTCATCAACATCATCAGATATTTTTATTGAACAGGGGTTTGTTGTTCTCTAACAGGACTTCTGTGTCTACATTACACACCAGGTAATTGTACATAACACAGATGAGCCGATGGCTGAAGCAGAGCTGTAGTTAGTTGTTGTAAGCAATAAATAATAAAAAGTAATAACAATAGTGATGGATTACATAGCACTTTATTTTTGACACCCAAAGGGCTTAGGGGGAAACACCAGAGAAACTTTGAGACAAGTACACTGGGAGACAATAGACTAATATTAAAATATATATACCTGTTCATATGCCGTTGTTGGAGTGTGAAGCTCAACGCAGGTATGTGCTGCTCGGCTTGCACCTCGTCCTCCCCGTCCTGCCTCTTCTTCCTTGGACCCTGGCAGCCCTCCTTCCTCTGCTTTGCCTCAACCCCGGGCCTGTCCCGGTCTGTGCTTGGCTCGGGAATGCAGTCCTCATCAGAGATAATAATGCTGTCACCATGGAAGCTCTAACATGCAAAACAACGTACATTTTATGAGTCTAACACGAAAGATTCACGTTCATGTAGTCTAACTGATGGAAACGGGAAAATGTGTATCAGCCTGTTTTTAGCTTTGCCCAATGTTACCGCAGCTGTTAGCACAGCTACCTGTTGCAAACAGTTAGCTAGCCAACTCGTTACTGAATCAAAATCAGTCTTTTTAAACCTATCCAATATTAACATGCTAGCTAGATAGTGAGTACTAACAATGGGGTTAGTTGTTTAGTTTATTTTCATAACGATAAAGTAAAATGTTTTCTTACCCCTGATGTGAGCCGCTGCATCGCGCTGCTCTCCACTGCTCTCCGCTCGTCACACTGTGCTCGTCCTTCAGCAGAGTCGGCAACGTGCGTTCATGTGTTTTGGGGGTGTGGCTTTGGAAGGAGCCCAGAAGGGAGGGCGTGGGAGTTTCTCTGTTGGATACTTTAAAAAATCCAGCAGTTTCTTGCTAGTTTCTCAAACTTACCTATCCTGCCCTTAATTATCACATTATTAATTAGTTATATATTTTTTATTGTTTATGTGAATTTGTGCTCTGGCACCATTGCAACCTAAACAACCAAACATTCATGGCAATGGGCGAGAGAGAGAGAGAGATTCCGAATTCCGTTGTTGTTGAGAAGTCATGTTTAAGACTTGCTGCTAAACAAAACGCTTGTTTTAGGTCCAAAAATTGGATAAACACAGACTTTTTATGAGGAAAATGCAAAAGAAGTGACCAGAATACACCAGAGGAGAGAAAAAGAGGAAAAAGAAGGAGAAAGAAAGAGAAAGAAAGAGAAAGAAGGAAAAGAGATACAATAATTGATCAAGAATTAAACATTAAGAAAAGAAAGGTATATGCCTGTTTTGTTGACTTCCAAAAAGCCTTTGATTCCATCTGGCACGAGGGCCTTTTCTATAGGCTACTTGAAAGTGGCATTGGAGGGAAAACATATGATTTGATTAAGAACATGTATAGAAAAAGTGAATGTGCCATAAAGATTGGAAACAAACAAACAGCGTTCTTCTCCCGGGGCTAGGGAGTGAGGCAGGGATGCAATCTCAGTCCAGTTCTCTTCAATCTATATATCAATGAATTAGCAAGCCAATTAGAGAGTTCCACGGCACCTGACCTCCTCCTGAACGACACAGAGATCAAAGGTCTGCTGTATGCAGATGACTTAGTGTTGCTCTCACCTACTAAAGGTTTGCAGCAGCACCTTAATCTCCTGCAGAGATTCTGTCAGACCTGGGCCCTGACAGTAAACACAGCAAAGACTAAGATAATGATCTTTCAGAAACAATACAGAAATCAGGTTACACACAATTTCTATTTAGACACCGCTAAATTACAACACACAAAAAACTACACTTTTGTGTGTTCTTTACATACACAGGGAACTTCAACATGGCCGTGAAAGCAAGGAGAGCTTTCTATGCAATAAAAAGAAACATTAAAATCTATATTCCAATTGAAATCTGGCTTAAAATTTTCCAATTTGTACTAGAACCAATAATTCTTTATGGTAGCGAAACCTGGGGACCAAAACTTAATAATGAATTTGACAAATGGGACAAAACAATCATAGAATCTTTCCATACTGAGTTCTGTAAGAGCATCCTGCAGGTGCAGAGAAAGACACCAAATAACCTGTGCAGAGCAGAGCTCGGCCAATACCCCCTCCTACTAAAAATACAGAAAAGATCACTTAAATTTTACAATCACTTAAAATCAGTTAACCCCCAGACATATCATCACAAAGACCTAACATACCAGGAGCTGAAACCAGAGAAGAGTCCCCTCAACCATCTGGTCCTGAGGCTCTCTGCAGTAACAAGTCCCCAACAGCCTCAAGACAGCAATACCAACTCAAGCAGACCAAACCAAATTATCAGCAAGCAGAAAGAAAAATATATTGAATACTGGAAAGAAACGACCAAAACACAAAGTAAATTACAATGTTATCTGACCCTAAAAAGAGAATTCACACTGGCAAATTACCTGAGTACAATAAAATGTCCCAAACTAAGAAAAATGTTGACAACATACAGACTGAGTGAACACGGCCTGGCCATAGAAAAGGGTCCCCACAGACAGAGCTGGCTACCACAAGAGGAGAGACTCTGCTCCCAGTGTGACAGGGGACAGGTAGAGACAGAGCTGCACTTTCTAACCTCATGCCCCAAATATAAAACATCATGCCATGAAGTGAGGACAACCAGTGGAACCTCAGACTGACAAATAATTGTACAGATTTTCAAATTATTATTATTTTGATTGTTTGATATTTTAGTAATTGTTTTGTTTTTACAATTTTATTATTATTTTTTAATCTATTAATTATTTAAAAAAATATTTTATTTTTATTTTTTATATATTTTTATTTTTTAACACACACACGCTTACTGTTTTATTTTATTTTATTTTTTTAACACACACACACACACACGCTTACGGTTTTATTTATTTATTTTAATATGTTTTTATTTTTTAACACACACACACACACACACACACACTTACTGTTTTATGTTATTTTATTTTATTTTTTTAACACACACACACACACGCTTACTGTTTTATTTATTTGTTTTATTTTAAATATATTTTTATTTTTTAACATACACACACACTGTTTTATTTATTTTTTATATAGTTTTATTTTTTAACATACACACACACAAACACACACACACACTTACTGTTTTATTTATTTATTTTATTTTCAATATATATATTTTTAACACACACACATGCTTACTGTTTTATTTATATATTTTATTTTAAAAAAAATTTATACACACACAGGCTTAGTGTTTTATTTATTTATTTAATTTTTTTATATTTCTTAATTATTTTTTTAACACAAACACACATACACTTTGATTACTTTACGCTTTAATTACTTGTTTAATGAAATGTATGGGGCTGATTGTTCTTATGTAGTATGTATGATGCTTTGGCAATATTGTTGTTACACATTCATGCCAATAAAGCTAATTTGAATTGAATTGAATTGAGAGAGAGAGAGAGAGAGAGATCTCTCATCTCATGGAAACAAGTTTCTGCCACATACATATAAAAGTTTCCTCCTCACTAGAGAAAGAGGTGTCCAGGCTGGACCCTGATCCTTCTCACAAGAGGTGTAGCGTATTCTGATAGAGTAATAATGATTTTTTTTTTATGTTACTGGCGATCAGCCACTTTCTCAAAAGCATTCCCAACAGCAAGGTTGCACAGATTTATGGCCGTGGAAACAAACCACACTTGTGGGTCATACGCATGCGCAGAACCGCTATGTAGCACATCTCGATAGGTAGCATAAATCGACAGAACACCGGCTACACGTACAGGTCCGTGTGTGGCAGTGGCGTCATTTAGTGATCCTTCAGAAATGCTTGGGAAAATGTATTGTGTGTGGAAGCCACCGTGCTACTC